ATGCAAGAAAGGAATGAATGTTTACTACCCTTATATAAGTTTTACCACCTGAAAAATGCCATAGACAGACAGAAGACTTCCTTCAGACGTAATGTTTCAAAGTACCATAAGGATTAGTCGCTGCATGGCACAGTGGTGAAAACGTCTGCTCTAGATTCGCGAATAAGGAGTTGATCCTAACGTTGTAGATGTGAATCCCTCTACTACGTATTGCTCTACGCATGAACTATTTTTAAAGCACTTTATTTGATAAACAAGTTAGCGAAACAAGAATATCAACAAATCCATTTGAAGTCATCATTTTGCAAGCTTCATGGTCGATACCATGACCTTGACGATGCAATTTATCAGTTAATAAGTGAAATGCAGGCTGAAGTTTTTCATTCTTATTGTTAAGATATTATTTACAAGGAGAATCATCAACGAATTTTTCCGATCATGACATAGATCAGACGACGGTTGTGACCGATCGATATTGGATGCTTGCTCCTCCAAAGCTGCTTAACCCTATCTCTTATGTTTTAAGAGGAGTACAGTGTATTTGCTCTTCTCTTGATTCAGTGTTTCAATGAAACTTGGTTCATTAACTCCATATTTCATAAATAAGATACATTTAGGTGTTAGATTTTAGGTATTCCTAACATAAGTGATTGATTGTTCGAAAGTATATTGTTTACGTGTCATTCGAGAATTCTTGCTCATAAAGGGATGTCTCTGTTTACCGCCGGAGAGCTTCAACTTTGGATCCTTACTTGGCACTTAGGACCATAGTGCAGTGAGGGATCTTTATCATGCCTCGGTTATAAGGTCTCGTCCGAAGGACATAACTCGAAGTGCCAAGTGCTTGGCGAAAAAAAAATGGTTGCCACCTTTTTTTTATTAACTTCGGTCAGTCACCAGCTTAGGTTCGAACCCACGACCTTCCGATAATGGATCGGGTACTAAAGTGATTGAAATATATTATAAAATCACAAATGTTCAAGGGAGTCAATTTTTTATCGGGTTCAAGGGACTTTAATTCCGTGGATGAAGAAGGATTGTTGAGTGCAGTGTAGTAATAACTGTGAAAAAATAACATTTCACTGTGAACTCTTCATACCTCGAAACCAAGACAATTTTCCCTTACGAAAATAATTGATTTTACAGTTTACTTAATACAATTTTTAAACAATATGATTAGTATTGAATACTGCAAACAAAAGTCTTCTACTTTACTTAACAATTTATATAAGTGACAATGTTTCTACTGCATTTTTATCGTTAATTCACGTCTTAAGCATGGATTCAACATTGGAACAACTCTATGTGACGTTTATACCTTAGCTTGATAAAGAATTCAAAAATATTGTTAACGTTTCTGGGGTATGATATATACCATGTTTTCCTGTTTGTCTGTATACGTCTTGGCTTGTTATTCTTATCGCAAATATGATTACAAATGCAAGATCCTCTTCTCGGAATTTTATGTAAGTAAAATTCCAACATAAATTACGCCTGATTTAAGATAAGTTTTGAATTAACTAGATGCAACGTGGACCTTTAAAAGAAAAGTAATGTATTGATTTTGTATGCAAAAAAAGTTTAGTTCAAATAAAATTCTATACCTTGCTTTCAAATCTCGAAACATACTTTTTAGGTTGACAAGGAACATGCTGTGATAAGAAATGTTAGGGTTTAAAGGTTACATGTAGCATTTTGTTAGTAATTACACAAGCACATTGTAAAATATATGATAGGATGTTAATTAACAGTGTTATCTCATACAACCTTATATCGCCTGCGTCGCGAAGTGATTAGAGCGTGAGTCGCGGATTAAGGAGGTGGACTTTATACTTTGCGGGCTCAAATCCTGTGTAGAGACCGGACCTTCGGACTTGACAACCAAGGCCTAGTGTCGCGAAAAGTGCTTGGACAAAAAAATCCTAATTGCTCAGAGGTCATAAGTGCCAAGTTAAAGTCAGACTTCGCAGCCCTACACCGGCACATGGTGGCGCTTCAATTTAAGTGAAAATTGGGGAGGGTAATTAAAAAAAATTAGAACAGACCCCGGATACATTAGAGGTGGAATAGGTGCGAAGGAGAGGAAACCACCTCTTGGCAACTGGTTCCACTATCTTCCTGTCCTCTGCATTCCTCTGGTTAATGAATTATCATCAGGCTTTCCTACACTTATGTTAGATACAGAGAAAAGTCATACTTTTTATCCTTTTTTGACGTGTAATTGTACAGATAACAATAAAGATTGTACAACAACGGGCCAACATTGAACAGGACAATCAAACAATTTATTCTTTTTTGCTCATTGATTAAAATTGATTTTCAAATAATCCACGTAAAACTAAGCAAGGCGATTTTTTTTTTTCATTTCACACATCGAATGCAGATGTACGTTGTTTGTTCAGTTTGATTGTTCTATTGAGCGATAACAAGTACTGTTTAAATGTACTTGCTACAGTGGATGAAGATCTTTTTTTTTTGTCAATACGAATGCAACAATTCGGATTCCTTCATACGAGAACACTATCTTTTGCACAGGTAATATATTCTAAAATTATTTAATTTTTATATCTTATTGTTCTGATTGACAATATATATGTTCTTTTTGAAGACAAGGTCTTCCAACAATCACATTTGCACCCCGTTATAAGCAGTCCTATTTTTGAAATCATTTGAAGCATAATTTGTACAAAATTTTATGCGTGAAAAGAAGAAAACACTTGCTGTCGCCATCATTTCGACATTTGGATATATCGACGACGTATTGTCAATAAACAATGGTAATTTCCATTCTTATGTCGATTCGAAATATCCTGCTGAGATTGTGATAAAAGATACAACAGAGTCTGACACATCTGGATATTTTACTTGAAAAGGACATCAATGGTAATCTAATAACCAAGCTCTATGAAAAACGTGATATGGCTTCAACTTTTCTATCGTCAACTTCCCTTTCTTATGCAGCAAAATACCTTCATCACCTGCATACAGAGTTTATATATCTGAGTTAATTCGACACGCTGAAGCATGCTCTACGTATAAACAATTTCTAAAAAGAGGTAAATTATTGACAATAAAGTTGATGAAACAAGAATATCAGCAGTCTAGTTTAAAGTCATCATTTCGTTAGTTCTACGGTCGATACGATGACCTTGTCAGCAAAAACAATTTATCATTGAGTCAACTGCTGACTGACGTTTTTCATACTAATTATACACTGAATTGACGACGGAGTTTTCCGTTATTTCCCGATTATGATAAGGAGCACAAGGCGGGTGTGACCGGTCGGCAGGGGATGCTCACTCCTCCATGGCTCCCGACCCCACGTCCGATGTTTTGGAGGTCCGTGTTTGCTTTGCATCTATTTTATATTGTTTTATGGACTTTTGATCTTGAATACTGTTCGTTATCTCCATATGTTTCATTTATTTTTTCATCTTTTATTGTGTCTTCAAAAGTGTATATAAAGTTTATCGTGTGTTATTTTAAGTAATACATTTGCTTTGCTTGGAGTACGTTAGAAGAAATTTGCCTCGTTTAATATGTGAGATATAGAAAAGCTTATGCCTGAGCTGGCATAGGGTGTGAAAGTTTGTTCTTTATATAAGAAGTTTATATTATTTTTATTAGGAAAAAGAACTGTGAAAAGTGTGTTATTATATTTCCAATAAAAAAAACGGTAGGGACATTTAGTGCGTCACAAGGAAAATAAATTTGATGTTGGAATTTATGCAGTTAGCAGTAAATACAGCATCAATTGTAAGAATTTCATCTACAGGAAATATATTATGGTCTACATGAAATCAAAGCCTAACAAAGTCAGTTCATATTCGTTTAAAAGCAAGCATATTTTATAGAAGTGCTGATCTTTCACAATATCATATTGCAAATGAACATGTTGCACAATGCTATGTATTCATTCAAGGGCAGGAAGAACGTCTTGAACAAAACCTTACTTGTTGATTTATAGACATGTTAATGCATAAAAAAGAAATATGAGACAAAACGTTTTGTTAAAAATTGTAAAGTGTAACAACACTTTGACTCTTTTTGAGCTTTGTACAGTGTATGGTTCAAAGCATACAGAGACAAGGAATATTCTGCTTCTAAAACTGTTGCACCAGGTCAAATTGTATTCGCTGCACTGTTGTTATTGTTGATATTTTAAGAATAAACAACTGCTGTGACCTGTTGACTCGGTGACCAATGGTTGACATGTCAGGAATGCTTCCCCCTGGGTCGCTCCTTGGACATTCCCGCCTTTTGTCGCGTGGTGAATTGTTAAGGCTGTCCATCTAAACAGTGTGAAGGCAGCTCTAAACTGACAACAGGTTTCTTTGATCTGTTGTCACGAGACTTCAGATAGGAGTAAGTTACTTGTCTTTGTCCAGGTAGCATCTGCTAGGGACATTATTACCCCCTAACACTGGCATGAGACACTGGTCATTTTCGATAGTCTAGAATTTCTCTCGACAATCTTTGAAAAAAAAAAATTAAAAGTAAATTTACTGAATTTGAAGAGACCTTTCTTTGCAAACCATAAAGAAAACTTCTACACCAGCTGATGTTTTGATTATAAAGTACAATTAAAGTTCTTAATATTCAATATAAGACGTTAATCAATGTTACACTTTTACATGTTTCAATAATTTAAATTATCGTTTATACAAAAATGTTTCTATTGTCTTTCTGGTTTTATTGTAATTATACTTTATACAATAATGAGATGCAACCATTAAATTCAATTGTTGTACGAATTATTGTTGGTAAGAGTTCATATTGCTTATCGTGTAAACATGCAAGGATTTAAACCCTTACCAGTTGTGAAACAATGCATCACCTCTAATATTTTACCATCCTTAACAAAGTATCATGAATTCTCGGGTATATCTAAATGCATTCAAATTCAGACTCGGGAGCCATTATCCAATAAAGCCCGCTTGAGAGCTTTCCACGCTTGGCCTAGTGCTGATAGAGTGACCTGAAAGGTGGGTCTGCTCTCATTATATACAGTGAGAGGAGGTTTTCGGTGCACAGTCGGTACGTGACTGCCAGAGGATCAGCATATCGATGACTTTTTATCCCAAGGAGAATATACTGAAGATTTTCACTTTATTTGTATGTTTAATGTCTGTGTGATATTGGTGTAAAAAGAATCTTAATTTATGGAATTAATATTAAAGCTCTCTCGAATCCCCCACATGTAGGTAAGTTTTCACCCTGATTTAAATGTAAGCAGGATGTTAACAATATCAAGAAGAATTTTACATAGTTCACGATGGAATGATGTAAGAAATCTTGCAATGAAATTATATACTCGACAGCATATTCTTGGATACTTTGAAAATAAGTTATTTTTTTAAGGTAATGCTTAAATATATTATTTTATTTTATTGCATTCGATAAGAAAACATATTTGAATTTGATGAAATCGATTAAAATGGTGACGTTTATGATTTATAATTTTTTTTTAAAAGAAAATTCGGAATTATAATAAACAAGCTTCACCACAACTCTCTTCTCGTTTGTAAACTTTTTGTAAAATTAGTTAGAAAATAAGGCTATAAAGTGATTTATTATCTCAATACATTCTCAATGAACAGTGTCGTTAACTTTTATAAAATGCACAAAGCATGGTTTAACAAAAAAATCCCTACATTTTGTTGGAAATAGTCATATCACTACCATTTCAATGCAATTTTATCATAATGAGAAGCCTTAAATCTGTGAAACTGTAAATATAATCAAAGTACCTGACACGGGGTGCAATTTGCACTTAACACGTGGTTTTATGTATACGTAAAATCATAAAACTTAGTATGTCTACATTTTGTTTTCATTTTAACGAAATTAAAAAAAAACTGTTATGGATATATGTCAGCATTGTGCCATTAGAAGCGTTTTACACATTTTACACACTGTTAACGTTCGTATAAAATATTTCAACAAGCAATTATACATCTGTGAGCAAACAAGCCATTCTGAACGAACCATTAATTCATAATGCTTACAAATATACATAGCACTTTAAAACAGAATGCATGGACTGGAGGAGGCGTTGCAATAAATAGACGTGATTGGGTAGAACTTATTAGTTCTTTCTTGCTTTTTATCATTTCTGATATCTTCTTTTTTTAATCATTGTACAATTTATCAATGCAACAAACTAAATCTTAGTTGTGCCTGTTTCGTTTGTTTTATTACGTAAATAAAGTCATATAAAGAATAAGAACTATAGTGATATTTCCATTTCATCAAAGTAAATGTCAGAGTGCTTCTCTTGCACATGTTCTATATCTTACTCTAGATATACAAACAAGGCCGAGGAACATGGTTTTAATCTTAATATGTTTTGATCTATTGATTTCTTTTAAGGATTTGTACGGGTTGCATAACTTATCTCAGGGTCATTATCAAATTCTAAATACGTTTCTTTTTGAAGATATTCCAAAAGTTATACCGTTAGTCAACAGCTTAGTTGATGATATATTTCTTTCGTGAATTAATTTTAATTATATATTAGGTTGTAAAAAGTTATGTAATCTGGAACAAAAGATACACCGAAACATTAATGTGTAACATTGCATTTTTTTACCTTGATTGCGATGCTTGCATACAATCCTTCGGGTTTAAAAGCTGTTTATAGACATTGGATATTTAAGGCTTTGGAAAATTATGTTTGGTAAGTTACTCTTGGGGTTAAATTTGTTTGAATCGGTTAAAAAAGAGATTGGCATTCCAAAAACGTAGACATATCTTGTATGAAAATCACTGGCACCCTTTCACTGAAAATAACTGAATGATTATTACGAAGAATCAAGTCGTTATCATAGCAATGTCACTATTCATAGTCGAACTTTGTTAGACGGTTAGGGGTCAGGACCTAACTACCCTTTGAAGTTTATCTAGCGACTTAAGATGCTAAATAAACTTTTACTAATAGGATTAACTCCTTAAAAATACACAGAATATACTTTGTGTGAATACACTAACACCGATCGTAATTTAAGATCGGCGAATAAAACTAAAAAGTGTACACTGTTCAAATTCTGTTTACAAACAAATTTTTGGAGATGACCTTTTCTAGTATATCTTATTCAGAACATATAAATTTAAATCAAGAGACTTTTCTGTGAGCCCATTTGCGTTTTACTTATTCAGAATATACTGGTATATCTTTTATTCTTGTATTTCTTGTCTTTTGAATTAAATATATGGAGATAACAGAGGAATGAGCATCCCTTTTCATAAATAAATAACCATATCTTACTTTTTTTTAAATAGATAAAGGGTGCTTTGTATTATCCAATCTCTCATTATGATGACTTGATAATGTTTTTTTTCTAAAAGTAGGGGTAATCTACAACAAAATATAATTTATAGAGCAACACGAACGATTTCTAATAAGACAAAATTATATTTCAGAAAATTGACATCATTACAATTTTAAAATTAAACTATTATTATTTAACTCGCATATCACTCATCGATCGCAAACCCACATATACATGTATGCGAACTATAACCAAAGAATAACAGATGAAAACAATACCCACATTGATAAATGTTATAAATTATATAATCATACCAACTTTTATTTGTATTGAAAAATAAAATAAACATCGATAGTGGGTTTTAATATTTATGGGTTGAATTAATAAAATCTGAACTCTGGATTTGTCTTGTTTAATTGTACAATGTACAACTTTTTATGATAAATTCTCAAAGTGCTAGATGAATTTTTTTTCCGTGATAAAGAAAAATTGTTTTCTAACAAGATCGTTTGTCTAAACAATGTTGCATTTGAAATGATCTGAAGATAAAGCAGATGCTAATATCTATGGATTGTTACATGATAATTTGTAAATATTTGTACTAAGCTTAAAATATATCGACTATAACAGGTGCCTGCAGTATGTCGACCTTTACATTGTTTATACAATAGATAGCATTGTCATTTTGAGGGCTATTTATCTGTCTAATTCAGTGGAAACACTATGTGCATGTATGCACAACATCTGCATGCCCCTGTAGGATAGTTTATCTAGCACACTTCCCTATAGCTTCAAATTCCACACGAATCTCTAGCCACAATGGACGTATACATGTATGTAAAACTGATATTAAGAAAACAAACTAAAGATTCTTACTCATTTGAAAAAAAAATGTGAGAAATAATTACCTCATCCGAAAGAAACCCAACCCTTTTAAATTAAAATTAAATATGTGATAATTTTATTATGACAAACAATATTGTAAATATATGTAAATATAAATAAAAAAGACATAAATATTCATAAATATTCTGAGGAAATTCTAGGATAGAATTAAAATTCAACTTTCTTCCCTTTGTTATCAGTATACTCAACATATCTGAAGTACCCTTCGAATTTATCTGTCAGCTGTTTACACTTAACTGCTAAAACATCCTAAATTATTTCTTCCACGTCTTTCTCACCCCTCTGTTTGTTTCCACACCCTTTGTTTTCATGATTAAGGAAATTTAAGCTTGACCTTTAAATTCAGTCAGGGAGGATACGCTAAACATTATCGCAAGGTATAGAGGATTCTTCAAAAGGTAGCCTTAGTGTACTATGTCAGCTATTTATGACGTTCTAATTGATTTAAAGTATCATGAATGTAATACCTACCGGGTACATTGAATTGCTTGTTATTTGAAATCTTCTTGTAGAATGTACAGTGGAGTACTCATTCATAAAATGTTACTTGCGTGTTGCGCATAGAAATTTGGTATTACCATCCGTTTCATGACTTAAACCTCCTTTATAATTTTAAGGTTTGAGATTGAATTAACTGAAATCAACTTTAATCAGATAAACGTATAAGCTTACTCAGAACAATACATACCTTATCAACTGTTAAAGGAGAGTCTGATTAAAATTATGTTTATGATCATTTCTTCTATATATGCGCATCATGCTTTCTTCATTTAATGTCTTTCGTCTCAAACCCCTATTAAAATGACCATTTTTATGATGATTTTTTCTTTGTTTTTCATGCAAACGACAATGAAAGATTAAACTTTTCAGAAGTAAACAATCCTATATAAAGAGTCGAAAATTAACAAGGAAAATTTGTCATTGAAAAATTATTTTGTAGATGAGAGAAAACATGATAAATGAAGACTGGTCATCCCCTCTTTGCCTTAGATAGCCACAGGTTCGCTTTGATGTCACAGTTTGTCAGGTAAGTGTTAAGTGCATCGGTCACTTTGACAAAATATCCTCCCAGAAATTTTTGTGGTATATCATGTGAAAACTAACTTTATTTGACCATGGGTTCTAAGTCATTTTGCTCGAGTTGAATTTCAGAAGGTTTTGTCATCTTCCGCATCGTGTATCAGCTTTTGCAAGATATCTCACTTTTATGAAACTATGACGGTTTTTTTAAAGATTGGAAATCATGAGTGGAAAGAGAAACCTATGAATCGTTTTTCCAATTTTTTTTCAAATGAAGAATTTATAATATTTATGAAATTTGCATGGCTCTATATTTCACAGAAATTCTGAGAAGGAAATAATATTTGTAATGATATTGAAAAGGGAAAAGTTTTTATTTTATAAATTGTTCAAGTTAGAAATTATTTAACTGCAATAAAGAACTTTTTTATTCAGGATTTATTCTACCCATGTACCGTACGAACCTGAAGGTTCTAATACTATGTGTGGGTATCTTCCCTCTTCTGCTAACAGTATACAACATTGGAAGATGTGATATAACCAAGGAAGATGATAGCATTTACAGGTAAATGATACTTTTATATAATGTAATTCCAGAAAAGTTAAAGAGCATGATGAAACAATATGAAGTTGATATAAGAATGCCTTTGCAATATAGAATATCCATCTTTGATTATCTGTTGTGAATTTCAAAGAGAAGCAGTGTCGTCGCAATTCATCAATGAGTTTGATGCATCTGTGGGGTTTCAGCCCAGGGTAGCCCAAGCTTATAATCACGTGGAACGGAGCAAGCCAATCAAATATGAAGAACTTGAGTGTGTCATCAATGGAGACTATTCTGTAATGGGAAGAAAAGAGGGCAAAAATGTTTACATGCCATTCTCCTTCATTCAGAAATATTTTGAGGTATAAATAAATAAATAATGAAATATAATCAAAAGTTATTATCTTATGGTCATTTACATTATGGTTTTAAACTTCAACATGAAATGTGAAGAAGACCAAAAGAAGCTAAAGAGTGTCATATTGAAAATTCAATATAAATGATAAAACATTTATTTTAAATCAGGTATATGGTTCCATTTATCAAACATTTTCATTCACAGTTACCAGGATCAACTGGTATCACCCCAGTGGTGTCTTCATGGCGTTTGATCAATATAGCGTAGAAGACAGGAATAGAGTGAAATGTGTCTCTGGTATCGAAGGTAAAAAAGTATATCATAGATGAATATTTACATCCACTGAATATTTTCTCCTTTATTTCTTAAGAAACCCCATTGCGATCATCCCTGCATAAACTACAATAGGCGTGTCGCCTGTACAGATTTCTTAATCAGTGGCTGTTCCATCAATGAAACGTATAAAGACGTTCGCATCATTAATACAATAATTAATCTTTTTAATCCTACTTTAATTGATTATTTAAACAGATATAAATATAAACAATAAAATGTCTTTCTTTGTTTGTTATTATGTGTCTCTGGCTATTGCAGAAAAAATTTACATAACCCGCTTACGCGGGTTATGTAAAAGCTATATCATAACAACAAACAAAGAAAGATTAAATTAACCTTTTAGTATTTTCAATCATTTTGAATAACATTTGATAACATTTTCAAGAATCAGCACAATAAAAAGTCCTGTTCAAAATAGACTGAATCTTCATTTTAGGTGTACCTATCTCAACACAATGGGAGAGGAAAGGTCACTACTACCCCATTCAGATAGCACAGTACGGCTTAAGTCATTATAGCAAATATCTGACACAACCAAGACCGAAAATAAAAGTTTTAGAGGATGGAGAACAAACAGATGTATCAGAATGGCTGCTTCCTGATAGAAAATCTGAGATCCGCAGCAGGATGGACGACAGAATTACGGTGGATAATGGAGTAGTGGAATTTAAGACATCAAGTACGAATATCACATACAGTACCCTTTCTTGGTTATTTTGCTTCTATGAATTATGATATGTTTATACCATAATTTTCATACAAGCAGAAACGAAACATTTGATCTGAAATCCAGTAAATGTATTAGAGCAATGTATATTTAACACAACTTATACAATATAAACGTAAGTAGCAATTGTTTTAAAACTACACGTATACATTTTCAGCAAACATGAAGAATCCTGGAATCAGCAAGTCCACAGAAGGAGAGAGGATTTCGACATTATCTATGGATATTATGTTTATAAATAATGGAAGTGTGACGGTTTTATTACAAACAGGAGATGGAAATTTGTTTCGTGTTCATTACGTGCTTAGTGATAATATAATCAAATTAGAAGGTAAAGACCTTTATTATGGAATTGGGTCGCACAAGAAAGGAAAATGGATTCACTTAACGAGACAAGTAATGGTGGACTTTCAAAAAGGATTAACGTTACGGTTTTCCAAAAATCGAAGTAACAAAATCAAAAGTGCAGCCCACATTGCAGCTATATGTGTTCGTGGTCACGGTATAATGGACAATGTGACCCTTCGTAGTCATGCACATAAGGATTTGTTTTTTGATGCAGCAAGTTATTTTGTTCGGCATCAAGATTCCAAGGGTGGTTGGCCAGTGAAAGTGACACGTAAGCTTATTCCAGAAGTCATGGAACTAGAGCCAGGATGGTATTCTGCCATGGGTCAAGGACAGGCCATTTCTCTCCTTGTACGAGCATATGTGGCCTCTAAAGACAGGACTTACTTAGAGACAGCGGGTAAGGCGTTGGATATTTTTGACATTCCAAGCTCCGAGGGTGGAGTTTTGGCGAAGTTTTTAGGCAAATTCGATTGGTATGAAGAATACCCAACCACACCTAGTAGTTTTGTGCTTAATGGATTTATTTACTCCTTATTTGGTCTTTATGACCTTAAAGAAATGTCAACCGGTAGTATTAGAGAAAAGGCAGCTAAGTTATATGAAAAAGGGATGAGGACGTTGAAAGCAATGCTTCTTATATTTGATTCTGGTACAGGGACGTTTTATGACCTTCGACATATCACCGCAGGTCTTGCACCAAATCGTGCCAGATGGGACTATCATAAGGTTCATATCAAACAGTTATACATACTGATTGAGTTAGACAATGATCCGATTTTTCAGAACACTCTTGAAAGGTGGAAAGGGTACATGAAAGGAAAACCTGCCCCTCATAATTGAAAACTAAAAACTGAGAAATTTTAACTTTCAACATAAAATTTACACCAAAGCTTTCCTTTAATTTTTACCAAATTATTAATGAAGATTATTCAAAATAAGGAGGATTGTTGATTGACATTAAAAGAATTTATATTTGACTAAAACGGTTTAAATGTAGCAATATGTATATATGAAGATTCATTTTAATACGTAAAATTAAGATTTGTAGTCCTCTCAAAGCATGACAAGCTTCAATATCGAGCAACATTGGCAGTTTTTAATCTAATTTTGTGGAAATAAAAGTTTCAATATTCTAGTTCTTAATAACTTCAAGCATAATTCAGCTATTTTTATGGTGCTTTAATTTTTTATTTTTTTTTTATTTTTGTACAATGTTTTTATGCGAAGTGATGAAGTAAAAACTTTTCTGACATTTTACATTCCATACTTGTGCGTTATGATTTTGTTTTTAAAGATGTTATTCATATTATACTTTCACCAGAAATACACATCATTTCTCTAGTGCAACAGTGTTAGCAAAATGATTGCGTGCGAGTGGATTATTTTTTCCTTCTTTGTTTTATTGCAATATTTCCTCTTCTTGCGATTTATGTTATGTTACAAAGAACCAAATAAAAGAATAAAATCATTAATTCTTATTGTTTATTTGAGATTCCTTGATTCCATTATTCGGCACAAAATAATAATATTTGAGAGCATTGCAATACAATTCTGTAAGAGGTTATGAAACACGGACCCTGGAAGTTTTGGAAATTTGATCAGGTACCAAGAAGGTAAAATCATCCCCTGTTGATTGGTCCAACTGCAGTGCATTCATCAGGTAAAGGTAAACGTAACATTTCGTTTAACTCGTTATAAAAACAAAGGCCTTAATAATACTTGTATGAATCCGTCTCATTCAAAGGCAAAGTTTCGCTAATTCGATGGTTGATTCAATGACTTTGTCAGCACATATATCCAATCCAGCAAAAATCGAATGTTGACTGACGTTTTTTTTTCTAATTATTATTTACACACTGAATTGTTCACAGATTTTTTCTTTTACCCGATCATAACAGAGGCCGGGTGTGACTGGTCAACAGGAGATTCTTTCTCCTTCATGGCAACTGATCCCACCTTTGAGGCCATATTTTTGCCCTTCTACCGTTTTTTATTGTTTGAATATTATTCATCCAAAATAAATTTGACATTTGAGTGTCTATGCGCCATAATTTGTAAGGCTATTTTTTGGCCCATGATAAAATTCAAATTAATTCCATTAGTTATGTTTAGTAATGTTTCCTCTGTCATATTTTATAATTTATTTGCAAAACCAACCTATACTAGTAGCAAAAGCATCTAAGAGGGTTATGAAGATTTATTACTTGTAGAAGACTATTCACTGTGAAAAACCCATGAAAGATTAACGATATATCATCAGGGAACACAGAACAGGGCTGAAGTAACACAAAAAGTTAACTAATTTAATATTTTTTGTAAAAATTCAAAAATTGTGTACTTTCTTAGTTAATGAAAAGCAATCAGTTATAAAAAAAAACGTATTTTCAAATCTTTAAAATATAACTGTGATTGCAACCCGTAGATTTATTCTTCAAATCAGAGAAATATAAATGTCCGCTCATTTTTTTTCATGTCCCGCCTGAAAAGTTTGCGTACAACATAGTAATAATATTATTAATTAACCGTTGACCGCTCGTAAAAATCCGACGAACAAGAAATTAGATTGGTGTGGCCTTATCAATAAATTGTATTGCAATACTAAAAATTTTTTTTGCAAAAAAAGAACTTTCATATTCAATAATAAGTTAATCTTGTAACAGCAGGACTTTGATGTGAAATCGGAATTATTGTATATTTAAAATGATTGATTTGGCCTTTTCCCCTCTTTGTTTGTGGTGGGTATAATGATAAGACCTTACATTACGGAATCACATCAGTAAAATTCAAATTCACATTAAGTTAAGTTAAATAAGTTTAAAGTTGATGCATTTTTTGAAGAATGATACTTATGAAGTAATGCGGGCTCTGTCAGAATGTGAAGGAATTCACGAACAGGTGTACTAGAAGAAAGACAAAATGTGTCAATATTTTAAAATATTGTCTTTTAATCCTCCGAAAATTGAAAGCATTGATAATGCTCGCAGTTGGCTTAAATCGATCGTTATTGTTAAAGTGGTTAAGGGTACCATACTTTGATCGTTTATTCCAATATTATCCTAACTTTTTTCTCGCAAAATAAATACACAGCACAAAATTAGACATGTTGAGAACAAATTTGAATGTATATTTTCAAAATTGATTTTATACTTTGTTTATACATGTATTTACAAAGAATTATACAAATTTATAAATAAAACTGATTCAATTACCGATATCTTGGAAAGGTAAGATTTTGCAACATTTCTGAACGTTTATGTCGAAGAATATGGTATATTAGAAACTTTGAAGAAGTTCCTAAAATTTCAATTTCATTTTATAACATATGGCTTTACCATAAAGAGAACAAATGAAACCAGTTGCGAATGAGGTAAGAGATCTAGTATTATGACACTATGGTATATACATTTATCATAGTATTTATACAAGAAACTTTCCACCTTTATTTAATTCTAACACTTTTGAACCAAAATATTCATTTTGTCATGTTTCCATTTTATTCCAAAATTCAACGAATGCGTTCTTACTAAATTGCGAAGATAAGGAACACGTACCTCAAACTTAGTTCATTGAACAATTTTGCGAACCGTACAAAAATCAACTAACATTCATAATTTTATGTTATTTTTGGAAACATGCACTTAATTTAGGTATACAAATGCAGTATAACTAACATCGATCGCTGCACTGTGTGGTCTGGATTCCCCACTAATTCCTTGTCATCAATACCATTATCGTACCAGGGAGCACATTCATTACTGAATATTACGGTGAACATATGCCACCTCTAATTTTCTGCATGATCAGCTGGGATTCAATTTTTTGCCAACGAGAAGCAGATTTTAGAAGGTAACTGGTCTTTTCAGCTGTGTTAGAGCCGCTTAGTATGTGCAGAAAATATGTCACATAAAACCGCGTGAGAAGGAAGAAGGAAAAATGTGTGAAAAATGTGAACAGCATACAACACCTGTCTTAAATAAAAGTGTTGTATGCATAACGATACACGATAGGTCGTGAATGTTGAAAAATAACACTGGATAAATAAAAAAGGGAGATAAAAAAGAAAGTGCAAAAACTTACTTTCACGTCCTTGTATATCGTATTCATAACATGATACAACTGTATTGAATGTTGTGTATATCAGGTATTATTGGCTCCCGTACAATAAATTCTAATATATTGTACTTTCTCCTGTTATATTATGTATGTGTTACGTACAGTATACTACTTGATTTTTTAAAGTACAATTTTGGGAAGGCAACCTATTTAAAGATATCTATCAAGTTACCTGCCCAGGTGACACAGTAATATAAGTAATTTGTCTGTGCAACACTTCTTCCCTGGTGGCCACAGGTGCAGTAGGTTGTTTTTAATCCGCTGTGTTGTATAAATTCTTATACTTAATTGTTCATGGCTTTGATTGATTCTAGTCATGCAATGTTTTGTAAACATCAGATCCAGAGCAAAATATTATATCTTGGTCAATTTGTACCGTCTTATCAATATCAAATCTGACAATTGTATTAGATGTTGATGAGCAAGGACGGTTACATATGCTATATATAGTTGTTGTTTTCCAATGTATTGATTATCGAAAACATTACGTTGATTCAAAGCAAATACTTTTAAAAAGTGGCTTTTGTAGATGCCCTGTTACAATTTCTTTGCTTGTTACAGGTATTTGTATTAGACATTATGTGTATGTAATGTTTCAATTGCATGCCACAAATATAAAAAGAGTATCCAATGAATTCCTTGAAGATTTTTCGGTGTATTGCACTTTAAGATTTCTGTATCCTTTGAATATTAGTACTAAAGCATTTATTCCTTAAAAAAAACCAAATTACATGTACATTTATGTCATTTCATGTATTTGTGAATGAAATCTGAAAATTAAATATGAATGTTGCAAACAGACATTAAAAATTCCTAAAAGTCGAATCCAACAACGAAAAATTAAAACAAAGCACACACGAACCTCCGAAAAAATAGATGTTTTGATTAGTGGCTAGGGATGCGAAAGCATCATCTGGTTACACATGTAATCATTGGCCCTTAGTCTCGATCGAGTTAGCTGTAGTGTATACACTGCATCACGAAAACTTTTATTTTAATTTTAAAGTCATTCGAAATTCGATCTAATGACAGACTGTATTTGTAAGCAAATCTTTGCACCAATCGCATTGCACATGCCGGTATGACCATGCAGTCAACAGCTGCAAGGGATACACACTCCTCCGAGCCATCTGATTCCAGGGGTCAGTGTTAATGTCATGTTGACAGATTTGTAATTTTGTATGGTTTGGATAGTTTGTATTTCAACTGATGCTTGCAATAAACAGGCTTCTTTCGCTCAACACCCTAGATACCTGCACTCAAACCAAAACTTGGCTTATTGATTTTCATGTTTCAGTACTGTTATTTAATTTTGCTCATTTTGAAATAAAGATATCTCTAATGGCAGGTGTTAACGTAATTCTTGCTGTTGTTTATAGTTAAATACAGCTTTTATCTCTTAAATGTCCTCATATTCCCCAAACCTTTCTGTTTGTCAGTTATCAGATTCAAGAGGAGACCTGGAATATTAGAGCATTTGTAACAAATGCATAAGGCAGTTTTTTTCTTTTTTTGGTAATTATCTTGATCAGATATACATGACATTGGGATTCCGGACCACACATTGCAAAAGTCATGATTTCCTGTACTAAAACTAAGGTCTGTAAGTTATAAGGTTAGGGTGGGTGGTGTTTGACTCAAGAATAAGATTTTTTTAAGGTCTAGGCAGAAATATTTTCAAATAAATTTTGCTGGGTATTTTTCCGCTATATAAATGTTTCAATTTTGGCCTTAAAATGTTACAAATCTAGTTTGTTTTAGTTATTTAACACTGTGAATATCAATCAAAACATCTTCACACCTTTCAAAGAGCTCTTGTTGTTAAGTGCGAAAACTTTAATCAATCCTATCATCTTTTAAAAGAACCATTTGGTTAGTTTCTTTTACTATGGCATGGATGATGCTTCATTCATCTACAGTGATTGTGTCATTTGAAGTAAAAAGGTTCACAATGAATTGTTTGAAGGAAAAAAGACAATTTGCTCTCATTAAGTACGACGTTATTTCCTTTCTGTAAGAGACTGATTTAAAGATATTTTATAGGGAAGATATTGTTTTACAAATCCTGTATTTTAAACTTTATATAGACACAGTGAATATTTTTAACGTCTTTTTAAGGCAAAGATTTTTGAAGGAGTTGATGGTTAATGAAACTTTTTTTGTTGGAGAAAAGAATAAATTTAGATTAATTCTTTATCTTTAAAAAATTGTTTGGGATCCTCTCCCGATCGGCTGACTACAAATGGCGAGACTCAAAACTTTATAAAATTTTAGGACTCGCAAGATATTTTTTTTATTTCACTTATCCTTGCAGAAAATATGTTGAAATTTTCTTTAAAAAAATTACCATCTAACTGCC